TAAAATCCTTTTTGTTTTTTTTACATTTGACATAACTGATAAAATATTTTTATGTTACTTAAGCACCTCTTCTTTGCTCCAATCCACTTTGACTTTCAGATGACTATTTAGCTTCTATTACTGCTACCATTGTTATTTTATAATGGATGCAAATAATTATAAAAGAAAGTATATGTTTACTAATCCAGGAAAATGTGCAGGATGTAAAATAACATGTTTCTAGGTTTGTATTCACGGATACTGTAATGAGGCTACACAGTGTCACAACACTAAATTAATGTTTTTAAGGGATTTTTTACTGTGCAACTCCCATAATGGTATTCATGGTATTCATGAATGCAAACCCTACATGTTTCCGGTCCAGCATGACAAAGACAAAGTGATATGTGGTACAAATGAAGCATTACACATGTGGGACATGAAATCTGGAAAACTCATTGGTGATTTATTTTCTATTTTAATTAATTAAAAAAATTTTTTTTTGAGTGAAATTAATACTAATCAATCAATCAACTATAGGCAGGTTAAATTTGACAAACAGGGATGTTTTACAGCTGTACAACGAAATAATTCAGAAATATGGTTTGAAGTCTTTGATTTTAAAGTATTTGGTATAAAAGAAGATAGAAACACATCCAATGCTTGCTTGTGCAGATGAAAATGGTAACTGGATTCCTAAAATAATAATTGTAGAATAAATTCTATTTGCTATTTGTACTATGATATGATTTTAACACATGATTTGATTTATGGATAAAATATTAATATGTAATTCATCAAATATTAAAATTTTATTGCTATATTTATACTGTGGTAAAGGAAACATTTTTTTAAAATCATGTGATTCAAATTAGTGCTTGTAACAATTAACTTGGCAGTATTTCTATATAAATGAAGTCTTTGGACATCTTTTTTAAAAAATGTTTGATAAACTATTGTCACCGATTAAATTTGGGAGAACGTATTTTAATTGGTATTAACAATTATTTTTATTTTTGCGTGGATCAGAATGAATA